CACGTGAATTATTCTCCAAAAAGACAAGACTACCTCTATTAAATGAGCAGGGAGCAGTCTCATTCACCATGCGCAGCTGAGGTAAAGCATGCAGAGATCAACAACTACTCAAGACACCCCTACCCGTAGGAAAAGTAAAGGTATTTATGATAGAATAATCCCTTATTCTTATCATAAATACATTCCTAATCAGATAAAACCTCTTTCAAGTAAGTAATTATAATCCCATTTATTTATGATATTTACCTAATTACTCCAAGATATTTATTTACACAAATATCTTGGAATTTTCTCACCCAAAATACAACATAGGGCCGGTCACCCCTAAACCAAGGTTCTAAAAAACGCTAGGCGGTAGCCAAGCGGCTAGCTAGCTCCTAGCGCTCAGGCAGCTAGGCGGGGTCTAGGTGGGCGCCTAGGCGGATTTAGGTAAATTTCTTGTATATCTTGTAAATAAGTGCATATTGACACTTACAAAAAATTATACTTGTATGAAATCTATGGATAAGATAATAAAAGAATGATAAAAGGCAAAAAGAGTATCCAATAAATCCAAAATTTAAAAAACATTACGCATATATGCCATATAAGTTATCTATATAAAGTGAGAAAGTGAAAAATGTGAAGTTTTCAAAAGATCAAGAAATTATTCTCCCTATTTTAGGGTTTTAAAATAGAATAATAGAGATAAAATAGTAATTTAAGATATTTTAAAAGAAGAGATATAGTATTGGAATTTTTAAAAAAAAATTTAAATGGGAAGAGATAAAATCCCACCTGACGTCTTACCCCACATCTACAACCCCTCTTTCACATAACCAAAGAAGTCTCAACCCAACATAATGATGTAATATTAGAGAAAAGATTAAAGAAATCAATTCTATTATTTAATGATTAATGATAAGGCATAGTGGTGAACGAATTGTAAAGACAGTAAAGTGGGTCTCTTTCTCACACATCTTCGTCCTCTCGCACATCTTCTTCTTCTTCTTCTTCAATCTGGGTTGTTTTCCATTTTCTCTTCCTCATCACTCACATATACTTCTTATATTTTTCTCCGTAAGTTCCTTTCTTCATTGAGTCTAGCATCCAGAGAGTTGATTTGCATATGCGAATCTGCCTAAGACGAAAGGGCATGGAACAGAAGACCAGAGTTGCAGACGTGCTGACGATGGAAGAAGACCAGTATCAATCCGCCTAGACATGCCGCCTAGCGCCGCTTAGACTGTCTAGAGTGCCTAGCGAGCACCTAGCCGATCGCCTAGCTCCTCACTGATTTTGTAAACGATTTGCTTTAAATCGTATCAGACAACCACCGCTCAGCGCCTAGGTAGGCGCCTAAGTCGCTTTTTTGAACACTGCCTTAAACCCTAGAGGGCCGGTCCATCTGCTCATTTTCTCCTATAAATACACACTTTATCTCCAAAATTCACAAGCTTTAGCTACCCCTAAAAAGGCTTTTTGCTACCCACAAAAGCTCTAACACATTCTTCTTAGAATTCTAAATTTGGCCTCGGAGATTCTTTGGCCAAAGCCCGCCTTCATTGTGAGCTCGTGATGCTTTTGGCCTTAATCTTAGGTGTTATTATTTTGCAAGTGCAGATTCATCAATCAAAGGAATGCGGAAATTTGCATCCATAGTCAAACTTTTAATAAAAATTTAAGGGTTAAACTCTGTTTACTACCCTCATGTTTCGTGGTTTTCAACATTTAGTACATCAAGTTTTTTTCGTCTCAAAGTCATACCTAAAGTGTTAATTTTGAGACAGTCTTATACATCCGTTAGTCAAACTGTTAAGTCTGCCATTAACTAATGACGTGGCGCATATGTGGACAATGATTGGACGCCACGTGTCATTAAGGGATCCACATGGACTCTTTTTTTTAGAGAAGGGGTTAAAAAAAATTCAAAAAAAAAAAAACCTCGTCTTCTATCTCCCCCAACCATCTGCACCTTCTCCCTCCCTCATCCCCCCGCAAACTCTCCCTCCCCTCTCTCTTCTGCACTCAGACCCCTTCCTTCCCTTCTCTCTTCTACAACCTGCACTACCCTCCCTTCTATCCTCATTCCTCCCTTAGCCTTCCATTCTCTCTTCTGCACTAACCCACTAAACCCTAGAAAATTAATTTGCAGACGAGGACGATTGAGGACCATTGGGATATCCATTATTAAAAAAATTAACTTTTCTGGGCATCCTGCCTTACCTTTCTCGACCTCCTCCCTCCTTCTCCCTCCCTTCTCTTCCCTACACCCACCTCCATACACACTCCCCCATCTACCCCGCTCCCTCTCTTCTCTCATCTGCACCCACCCAACCTCTGTACCATCTACCCATCTTCCAAATTCGAAATCAAAAAATGGCAAAAACCCAAGAACAACCAAATCTATGTAAATCGAAAAAGACAAACTCTTTCTGTTTCCTACCTGAAATGCTTTCAGTGTGGGCCTGCTCCCCTGAACCAAACCCCACCACAAAGGCAGCAACAAGAAATGAAGGAATGAAGGAAAAAAAAAGTCTCTAGCTACAGCCTTTCAGCAATAGAGAGAAAGTTCACAAGAAATGAAGGAAAAAAAAAGGTAAAATTTGGGGTTGAAGAAACAAGGAAGAGAAGATCTCTTCTGGGTTGTTTGATTTGTATTTTATTCAACGTCCATGGAGGTTCGATGGCAAGTCCATCTATCTCCTATGATTCACTATCTTCGAAACGGCAATCTGCTACTGGATTCGTTGATCCACCGCTAACCGCGGTCGACCTTCAACAACGCCGACCCATTTGTGCGGCGGCGAGGCCTGCCGCAGCTTCGAAACCCTTTTGCTTGCGCTGTTTTTGACCAACTCGAAAGGGAAGAAAAGTGAGGGAGCGATGGTTTCGAATACGGCGATGGGTTTGGGGGTTTCGAATACGGCGACGAGAAGGGAGGGAGCGGGGTAGATAGGTAGATGGGTGCAGAGGTTGGGTAAAGGATGGATGGGTCCAAAAGAAAGAAGGGAGGGAGAATGAGGGAAAGGGTCGGGAAGGGTAGGGCAGGATACCCAGAAAAGTTAACTAATGGGGTTGGGAGGTAGAAGACGGGTGGGGTGGGGATTTTTTTTTCTGTGTTTTTGTATTTTTTTAATTTTTTAATATTGAAGTGGGTCCATATTGACACGTGGCACTCATTTATTGTCCACGTGGGTGCCACGTCATTAGTTAACAGAAGTTCTAACGGAAAACTTAACGGATGTATGAAACTGTCCCAAAATTAAGACTTGAGGTATGACTCTGAGATGAAAAAAACTTCATATAACAAATGTTGAAAACCACAAAACTTCAGGATAGTAAACAGAGATTAACCCAAAATTTAAGCTTCATAAAGAATGCTAGATTGTTCATGTGCCATTAGGGTTTAGTTTAAAGGAGTTTTAATGAAAATGGCTCTCCAAACTCTTTATTAACCAAAAATCATATAATAACTTTATTTAATAAAAAAGTGCTTAAACTTTAATAAAAAGACTTAAATTTTAATGAAAATAACAAAATATTTTAATACAATAAAAAAAATTGACACGCGGTTCCACACGTCAAATCACTCTCTCTCTTTCTCTCTTCATCTCTATCTCACTCCACCCATACAAATCATATTATTTAACTATATATATCCTTTCACATATTCCTCCCATCAACTTTCTTTCTCCACTCTCCTTTCTCCCCACTCATCCACATCAACTTTGTCTATCATCTCTCCCTTCACCTATTCCCACTCTCTAATGTCACCATAAATAACATTTTTTTTATTATTCATCCACCCATCAGATCACTCTCTCTCTCTCTCTTTCTTCTCCTCTGTCCCTCATTCCACGTGTACAGATCATATTATTTAACTTTATTTCTCTCGCTTCTTTCACATATTCCCTCAACTTTCTCCTCTTTGTCTTATCATCTCTCATTTCACCTATCCCCACTCTCTCGTGTCACCATAAATAATATATTTTTTATTTTTTGTTTATTGTTTGTTTATTTGAATATTGTTTCATGATTTTTTTTAGAACAAACTAAGTAGTAATATTACAAGACCAACAATGAAGTAATTTTTCATTTTTTAGTTTTATTAACTATGCTAATTTTAATTTCGAAATAGTGATTTTAACTTTAATTTGGATAAATTATTCAATTTGTTTCTTGGATAAGTTATTATGTGTCATGTCGTACAAACAATGACTATTTTTAGAACTGAAGATTGATTATTTCAAGAATTGAACACGAAATATTTTTAGGAAAACTAATGAAAAGGATTTCAAAACTTTAAATTTTATCCAAAAATCATCCAACAACTTTATTTAATGATAAACACAAAAGAAAGAAAATAAAAAAATAAAAATAAAATCCAACCAAAAGCGCGTGCAAGGCGTGCACCAACCCGTGTTTAGTTTCAGAAATAGTGTAATTCCCATGTTCAGTTTTAGAAATAGTGATAATACTAGTGTTTAGTTTAAGAAATAGTGATAGTACTTGTATTCAATTTTTAGAAATAGTCAATGTACAGTTCAGAAATAGTGTAGTACTTGTGTTTAGTTTTAGAAATAGTCAGTATTCAAAGGTCAAATGCAGGGTTGGTTTTTTATTGTGTTACTATTTCTTCACTACAAATAATGCAAAAATGTTCTTTTATGTTAGAGAAAATTAGAATTCACGCATTCTCCAACATAACTTAGCATAGAATGCAAGACGTAAATTTGTACCTTCAGAAAATGTTTACCGTAAGACAAATATTTATATCTGTAAAGTAGGATGAGTTTTTGCTTTTGCTAGTACCATTTGTAGCATAATATCCAGAATAATATTTGGATCAAATGAACTCGAAAGATCCTTTAATAATCTCGAAAATAAAGACTACATATTCGGTGTCCATATAATTGAAAGGGACTTAGGAAATGAAAACACATATTTGTACTTAAAATAGTGCATTTATGTAAACTTTTTGTCCACTCTAATGACTTGATCACCACTCCAATCCAATGTATGGTTGCATCATCTACCTTACTCATCTATCATATAGAAAACAATCAAATACACAAGTTCAATCTCTTGGTGACATTATCATTTAAAATTAGAAATTGGTCTGGCTCAGTTTATGGAGCATAATATACAACACATCGGCACGACGTTAGGTCCTAAACCAGTCTTGGAGGCACAACAACACACAAAAGCAAGGCTTTTTCCCCCTCCTGGTGGAGAAAAGGAAAGCACATGCATACCGCTTACACTACAACCCAACCCAGTAGAAACTTCGCATCTCAGCATTCACGGGCCTCCCAATAGCTTCTTTAAATCCCGCTGCAAAATAATTATGTTAGCAGAAAGCTAGCATGATTACACAGATGGACAATACAACAAACATCAAGGGTAGCACAGCACAATTATATTTGAGAATCAAAGTTCGAACATCCAAGTTTTTACCTCAATACTAAGGGGGGGAGTGGTCGGGTAATAGCGATCAGAAACTTTCCCCTCCTTGTCAACTAGAAACTTGGTAAAATTCCATTGGATATCATCTCCAAAGAATCCCCATTTGCCTAACTTCAAGAACTTATACAAGGGACCAGCATTATCACCGTTTACTTCAATCTAACACAAGCGAGAGATGGTGAAATTACAAACCAAATTTCACATATTACAATACTCCATTCTCTCAGATGTAGAGGAAATGGCTCTGAGAGGAAATGGCCATGGGGAAGAAGATAACAAATTCTAAATTGCAAAAATTCTAAACTAATTTTAAAACTGCATGTAACAATATAGCAGTTAATTTGACTAGCCTATCATTATCTCAAATCTTGAAACTAAAACTTGTAATCTAAATATGGCAATGCCCTTCTCCATCGTTTTACAAAGAGAATAAATAATAGATAACCTTGTGGTTGAACCCTTTTGGCTGGCCTAAAAGTGCAATAGGTTTAACCGTGTAAGCTGTTTGAAAGTAGATACAAACTAATCTACAGCTGCTTGATTTACCTTGTCAAAAATTGGAAATTCAGATTTGAAACGAGTGCAGACAAACTCTTCAATCTCTTTATTACTTCCCGGTTCCTCATCACCAAACTGATTGCATGGAAACGCCAGTATCTCAAAGCCTGCATCAATTCCCCAGTATATCAGACAAAGGGGAAAAACAAAAGGGTAGAATTATATGTTGAATTAGTCACATTACATTGATCTTTCTCTTATTTATCTTTAAGAAAAAAGGACTTCTGTATTTTACACCAAGGAGTACTTGTTTCTATGATGAAAAAGAGACGGCCACTATTGGTTACCAAAACGATAGGCGTATAAGAACACTTTGAGATCAAAATGCAAACCTTGTTCTTTATACTGTTGGTATAGTTGATTCAGCTCTGTGTAGTTTGAGTTGGTCAGTCCACTGCCACAATTAGTGAAAACCAGCAATGAATAGATACGTTTAGAAAGGAAAAACAAAAACGAAAAAAATATTTTCCCGTATTAGCCCTGAATAACATCACACCTTTAGAGAAAAACATTTCAAGCTTAATACTCAAGAGAAACATCCAATTGAATATGCAACGGGAGAAGGGCACCAAATGAATTTTGCAAGCAGCAATCAATCAGAACATGACAAGTGACTAACTGCGAGTATATATCTCCAATTAAGCTCTCTAAGTGTTTATGTATGAAACTTATAGTTGTCGGGCGCAAAAAAGAAAGAACAAACAAAGTAAGGAGACGAGGAATAATACCATTTGGAAGCAACATTGATAACGAGTAGAACTTTTCCCTTGTACAAGCTAAGATCCACATCATTGCCCTTTGCATCCTATACAGACATAAACACAACTATCAAAACCAAGATTCACAAACAACAATTATTCATTAACCGAATTAATTCCGACATAGATTCAACGCAATAGCAACATTTATTTATTTATCTATCTTTTTCAGAAATAGTGGGGCAAGCCATGGTTATCCACTCCTTCCAGGCCCGAAGAGGCTACGTTTACAATATTTCCCCTTATTTTTCTTGGCAACCAACCAGAGTCCAGAGTCCAGACCAAGGAAAATTCCCAATTCTCCAAACAAGCCCAAAATAAGTAGTACCCAGAATTCAAAAATTCCTTTAAATTGATTAGTATTGCAAGAAAAGATGAAAACTTTGAACACAACCAGATGATTCCAACACTACCCATCTTCTAGTCATTATTTAAACAACAAATTTTTGAAGAATACATAGTCTTTTTACATCGCAACCTAAAAATTGAGCAGAAAAAGCATAAACTAATTGAAGATATGCAATTATACATACATAGATGATATAGATAGGGAGTTACCTTGACAGTGAAGTCGTAAATTGTTTTTGGGTTCTCAGTTGCCTGGCTTGTCATCCTCTTCTGCTCTCAACTCTGAACAAACTGGAACACCTGAAGGTCCACAACGTTGAAAAATGCCTTTCTTTCCACATTCAGTGTTCGAAGCTGACCTGTTAACAAAATGTTAATGACGCTTTAGGCCCTCATGTCTCTCCTTGGGCCTTCGTCACAACCTTTCGGCTCGGGGTCGGTTATAGTCGTACATGAGTGGATAATCGTAACTTGCTATGATTTTTTCATTTTTGCATGTTCAAAGAAAAAAACATTGATTTTTGAATAACTCAGTGGTACGTATTGTACAGTGATTCATTTTTTACAGACATTTTATTTTTCCTTTTAATGAATTTTCTTCAGCCAAATGGAGATGGGTGGTGCAAGATCAAATGATTATGCAGAATGATTCATTTTTCACCGGGATTGTGTTTTTCCGTTTAATGAATTTTCTTCTAACCAGGTGGGGACGAGTGCGGCTAGACTAAATGATTATGTGGAGTGATTCATTTTTCAAGTGAAAAAGACAATATGATCCTAAGCCCTGGCCATAAATCATAAATATGTATCCGGCCAAGGTATGGTTGAGAGAGCTAGAAAGAGGGAGCACTTGGTGGAGAAATCTGCGACAAGGGGAAGCTTTGATTGAGCAATGGGGCAAGTCACGACTCGTGAGAGCGGTGAAAGCGCGCCGACAAGGGGCAGGGGAGCAGGCGCCACCCCACAGGGTGACTCCGAGGGGCAAAGCCGCCGCCACAAGAGTCGATAACAAACGAAGCTTAAATGCATAAATTTCGGAAAAGGCCTCAAGTTCGAATATTAATTAACGTCCAAATTCGCATTGATATGACTGAATACTCGCAAATTCTGACTGTATCTGAAAGTAATCTTCCTTAAACATGAACAGAAATCAACAGAACGCAACCCTTACAAGATGCCAAATAATACAAATAGATGCATTCTTATTACAGTAAGTGCCTTTTATTCCTCTCATTTCTTCATATAGAGCTGCCCGTTCATGCGACCCCCAGCAGTTTCTTCACATCCTTCTGCAAAACAAGAAGCAAGACAACAAACCAGAAATTCGTTAACCTAATTCACTTTCTCAGTTCAGTGTAATTGTCATGAATGTATGTACGATTTCGCACCTCAATGCTAAGAGGAGAAGTTGTAGGGGCATAACGGTCAACGACTTTCCCTTCTTTGTCAACCAGGAACTTGGAGAAGTTCCACTTGATGCTGTCACCAAACAGTCCACCCTTGCTCGACTTCAAGAATTTGTAAATCGGAGCAGCATTGTCGCCATTCACATCCACCTAAAATTGGAAGAATGTAAGTCTCCAGCTCTAGTAAATGAACCAAAGGAAGACGCTTTCACTGCTAATATGACATCCTAAGGAGCTCTTACCTTGTCAAAGATGGGATACTCAGCCTTGAAGCGAGTGCAGGCAAACTCTACAATCTCGTCATTTGTCCCTGGCTCCTGGGCTCCAAACTGGTTGCATGGGAATGCCAAGATTTCCAAACCTGCAAGTCCACAGAAGCAAGTGTGAGCTACAAGACTATTAAGTTTCTACGAAAACAGCCACGGGATGAAGTACAAACAGGCAAAAGGAAAGCAGACCTTGAGTTTTGTATTTCTCATACAACTGAGCCAACTCTGTGTAGTTTGAATTAGTCAAGCCACTGCATCAAGATCGGCAAAAAAATGCATCCCATTACATGAGAATATAACCATATTTATCAGATTTTCATTCCATTTGGTAAATATGTATGGATTGCACATAAAATCTCAGAAGAAGAAGGAAGATACAGTGTACCATTGCGACGCAACGTTAACGATCAGAAGGACCTTCCCTTTGTAGGTGCTGAGATCAACATCATTACCCTTGGCATCCTGAAAGTAAACGGATTTACACTATACGCATTCAATTCTCGGTTTGCGGATGAAGTTTAAACAACCTACAGCCTCTATAGCACATGTCACTTTTGCAACTCAATCCCATCAATTTTTGTTGGGTCAAATTTAAAATAACCCAAATTCATTTTCTATTATAAATAGTAAAGGCGATATTCTTCACTAATCTACTCTACGTGGTCGGGGTGGTTTGCACCCGGGACAAAGCGGATTGAAGAGGAAGGCCCTAACTACAAGGGCCACCCACCAATGCGATCAGAACCCAGATTCTAACATGATAAATTAAACCCAAAATAGAGTCCAAAATAGATTAAGGGGTGTATTCAATTGAGAATGTGAGATATTTTAATGAATTTATAAATTCATGATTTTTATAGAGTTTAATTGATTTGTAGAGATTCGTTATAAAATTTTGATTCAATTCTCAGAAGATGTGAGATTTGTAGATACTTAAAATACATTACAAAATCTCTCAAATTCCCTCTGAATCCTCAACTTTCTCAAATTCTTTAAAATTAATTTTTAATTAAATACACCTGAAATATTATAAACTTCTTTAAAATCTTAATTGAATACGTCTGGATTTCTAAGGATTTTAATAAACTATTTTAAAATTCTAATTAAATACACCTAGAATTTCAGAGAATCACATAAAATCCTAATTAAATCTCATAGATCCATTAAAAGAATTAAAATCTCAATTAAATACACCCCATAAAGAACAGACTTTTACATAAATTACCCGAATTCTAATAAAATAGGGGAAAGCCAAGTCAATCCCCCTAATCTCAACAATTTTTTTTTTTTTGGACAATCATAAATTTTGTTAGATAGATGTTAGATTAGTCACCAGGTTTGAATCCATATCATACCGTCGTGCAAGGGCTTAACACCTTTCGACTACCGGGTAAAGTGCCTCTTGCCCCTAATTTCAACATTTAATTGAGAACTATAAGCAAACCCCAGCTGCTAAACAAACAAAAATCCCCAATCCCAAATGGAAAATGAAATTGACGCAAAACTGTAAAAATAATCAAAATTCATGAAAAGACAACCTTGACAGTGAAATCGTGGATTGATTTACTCTCGGAATGGCCAGCCATTGTACGATTCAACAGCAAAGTAGACGCAACCGGGCTTGAAAACTCGACCTTGATCAACGGCGAAAACAGAGAAATCCGCGACGGTGGCAAAGGGGTCTGCAAGGAATCGGCCGAGAAGTGCTTTTGCAGAAGCTGAGAAGCAGATGAAGCGGCGACGGTGAGTTTTCGTCGGAAGAGAAAACGAGTAGAATTGCAGATGCAGAGCATTTGGAGACCCAGAGCAGAGAATGGGCCTATATTTATAGCTGTGGACTGTGATGATCTGTGAGCGCACACGTGGAGGATATTGGGTTGACACGTAGGTGGTTTTGTATGCGCACACGTGGAGGTGTAAGGACAAAGCGTTTGGAAGTGGGGAAACGGCTGGGATTTTGCATCAGGGAATACGTCATGGGTTTCAATGGCCAGGTTTAGTTGATTGTTGGACTTAAGTGTGCATGGTGTGAATGGTGTGAACTGTGTATGTTTCGATATTTGACATATTTTTTGTTCTCTCTTAATTGTTTTGTACTTTTGTGGTAATGCAAATTCTTATTTGTCTTTGATTCTTTACTTCTGGATTTAGTTTTTTCAGTGGGCCTCTTGAAAAGTTACAGTTTTCTTTATATATATTAAATGGATGTTGTGAAACTGATGTGATGTGTGCATGGAATGAAATAAATAAAACACAATATTTACGATATTCGGTAAATGTGTTTTTTTTCAGTCTAGCTCACTGGTTTTTTTTTTTTTTCTTCTATCTCTTCTTTCTTTTCCTTTATTCTTCAATACTTTATATGCAAAAATCAAGACCTAACAAACCCATCATGTTTTTACCCATAAAAAAACCCCCTCATATGGGTTATTTTACTACATTAATGGGAACCATAGTCTTCAAGTGAATAATAAATTTTAATCATCTTTCAAATTCTTCATTCATACTACTTTTTCAGTGAGCATTCACACTGCTTTTATTGTCCCTGGTCTGAAGGAAACAAAAAATATTTTGCTTATGTAGCCAATGTCGCATACTCTTAGATGCTCCACCTGATTATAAAAAAGCTGGATTAACTACCTTGTCATCAGGCAGATGTGTGTCGATGCAATCTTTGAACTTCTCAAGTGAAGACTTTGGAAATATGTATTTTTTTTAACTGATACAAAGATGTAGCAACAAATGTTTGTTTTGTTGATCGTTGTAGAATCAATCTATTGTTGTTTTGTTGATCGTTGTAGAATCAATCTATTTCTGTTAGAATTCCTTTGTCCCACATCGGCCAGAAGGCTTGAGAACAAGCCATTTATATAGAATTACCCCACTATAACTAATACCGAGGCCTTTTGTATTAAAACCTCACACCTGACGAATTGACTAGGTGGCCAAGTGAGGACAGTATCGGTATTGTTGGAGTGGGCCCATGGCCCGTCTACCTGAAATTTAAGATGGTATCAGAGCCAGGGACGGGTCTGTACATCCACGTGAACGGGTGGGTCCCCTTTGGTCCTGCGCAAATGGGTGAGCCCCGACTTGGCTCCACGTAGGCCAAGAGATGCCACGTGCATTGGCCCAGCGCGAATGAGTGAGGCCCGGCTTGGCTCCACTTGGTTGCCGATGTGTGGAACTCCACATGTGACCCATAAAATGGGATCTCACGTGCGGGGGAGTGTTACAATTCCTTTGTCCCACATCGGGTAGAAGGCTTGAGAACAAGCCATTTATATAGAATTACCCCACTCTAACTAACACCGAAGCCTTTTGTATTAAAACCTCACACCCGACGGATTGAGTAGGTAGCCAAGTGGGGACAGTATCGGTGTTGTTGGAGTGGGCCCATGGCCCGTCTAAATGAAATTTATGAATTTCCATTTGTAAGGAGGATCTCAATGAGTTGAGCAAAGCAATTCTCAATTGTTGGCAAATATGGAATGAAAGAAATAATATGGTGGTTTTGGGGGCATCAATCCTATCCATACTCGCTGCCTTGCCATTGCAGCTAGTGTGGATCTTTGTTCTTCACCGTTAATTGGAAACCAAATTGCAAGGTTGATGCTTCTTCTGAGCAGGTCATTCGATGGCAACCCCCTTGATCAGGACGTTATAAAGTTAAACTTTGATGATTCTTTCAT